TAACAACAAATTCCACGAATATTGGCAATCTCCGGGGCAGAGTTCATATCCGTTCCGTACATGCTCCGCAATACTACACTAATATGTAGTGTTACGAAGTATTGAACGGAACGGATATGATCTCTGCGCCGGAGATTGGAAAATTGGTATCCCACCAATTATAATAATTCCACAGTAGCCTCTTGTTTGTTGTCCTCTATATGTCATTTTGTATTTAATGTGTTTATTGGTGATTGCTATCTCACTGATGTAGGCCTAAATATCTCGCTCTTTTTAAATTCGGAATTGGGGTCCTGAAGTTACGAGTTTCCTCTTAGGCAAAAAAAAAAATATGTGGGTTTCCTATTACATCTTTGAAAAAATAGGGTAGGTAGGTAGGGATTTTTTTTTATTTTACCTTTTTTTTACATTGAGTCTATGGGAGGGACATTCTGACTTTAACAGTGTTTATTGAAAAATGACTAAAAAACTTCAGGGCAGGCTATTTTTGAGCTTAAAAAATAGGGAGGGTAGAGTAATAGAAAACACATATCTTTTTTTATTTGGCCTTATGTATGTTGCTGTAGAAAATCAAATTCAAAAACATAACAAATGCAAAACTGTTTAAAAGAAAGTATTGCTCGTAGTTATGAACGAAAATAATGTTAGTATCCTACTGTAATAAGAGAATAGGATGATACTATCCAGTTAGTTGTTATATGATATGTATGGGGTTCCAGTTGTTTCTCTGCAGACTCTCAACAGAAGAATGTTGTTGCCGATTTAGAGGCAGGCCAGGATCGACTGACACCTATAAGTTTCAAAATTCAATCTTTGACGTCTCAAAGCTGAATTTTAACTTCTATAGCAATCATGTATTTGATGTTATGCCAACATCACTTTCTTTGTCAGCATAAAATTAGAAATTACCAAATATGGTTATTGTCCGAAATAAGGTCAAAATGTTGTATAAGTAAAATTAAATGTCCCATATATAATAGAGAGGTCACTTTGACAATGGTGACAATAAATAATCTTTAATTGATCGGAGAACTGTTTGCAGTAACCCGAGGTAAACAATTGTGATAAACAAAATCATTACCTTTCTTATTAACATGAAATTTAATAAATAATTGTAACGTCATCTATGTCCACAATGTATGTCAAATATTTGTCACACTACTCCTCGTATTCTTTACCTACAACACACCGTATACTATTTGCAAATGCTGTGTCATTTACCGGACCGAGAGAGGAAAACAGTTCCAGATTTTATAGGCCATAATAACCGCTGCTGAATTTTTAAAAATAGATTTGTCCAAGTATAGAGTGTGTCTCCTCTTAGATCTTTTCTTGGTCAGTTCTAAAGAGTGCGGAGAAATTTGGACGTTTACAATGTGATTCATCGCACACAGAGAAAAAGAGAATACAATTATCGATTACTTGATCCCTTAAATTACAAAAATTAAATTTCGAACACGCAGCGAACATTGTTTCATCAGTTCATTCTCTACAATTTAATTATTTTTACTGTGATGTACGTTTAGTGAAATTTAGGTCACTGGAATTACTTCTGTATAATCCAGAAAAGGCAGACTTCAAATACAAAACACTGATCCTTCAAGTTTAAAAACCTCAAGCTGCACACAAATAGTGCATGCATGGATAAAAATTGCATATTTTCATGTTCCTGTAAGTAAACAAAGAAATTTGTAAAAGGTCTGTAAGAAACCAAATTAAGCCAATCCTAAAAGTTGATGAATATTCCCTATTCATGTGACACCTTCTCCTTGAAACCACATTAGAAATAGAAACCAGAACTCGTAACATCTCTAGAAGATTGAAATTTACCCATTGTTTATCATAAAACGAGTATAATTAAGCTAAATATAGATGTAGATGTAATGAATTAGGCTATTTTCTCAATTGAATTGTTTCACATTTTTCATGTCCGGGCCTTCTATAGGCGACTAAATGGTGCATGTTTTCTCATTGTTGAAGGCCATCGGGTTACATATAATTGCTTACATTGACTTCAATTCAATTTTGGTGGATAGTTATTTCAATGGCAACCATAACACATTCCCTCATTTTCATATTATAAGTATGAAATATGTGTAGCTGAACTAAATACCATTCAATTAGGTAATAAGTTAATACTTCGAAAGTTTAATAGTTTATTTCAAATCAGAAGCAATACAGCTTATAGGTATATCATAAATATATACATGTGTATCATAACAGAACATTTTAAATACAATCGGAGGCAAGACTACATATTATAAATCATTCAGAAGATTGTCATGAAAATTTTATATCTGTAGCGTATTTTAAATATTTTCCTAAATTAGACAATTTCAGACTCAAATGCATTCCTTGTTGACAATAATTGAACTGATTTAAAAACAGATGCATTTGTATAATAATACCTTTAAATATACAATTTTCCTATATTGTCATATTTTGGACATTTTAAAATAAAATGAAACTCATCCTTGATATCACCCTGGTTACATTTAAAATTATCAAATAGCTTTAGTGTAAATTAAATATTTCGTCTCTTACCTATGTGGAGACGATGGAGGTGTTCTTAAATAATGCACTATGTAATGTTAAATGACATGAATAAGAATTCATTCTAAAATGTTTGAAATTTCTTTTCGAAAGTAATATAAAACATGGTCAAATTTGGCTTGTGAAAACTATTATATGATTTTTGTTTATCAAAGTAAAGAAATGTATTTGTCAATTGTCATTCAAACACCATTTTCGGAGACAGCCTCGGACAATTTACTTTTTACATAATTATAACGTCGCAATGACGTCATGGATATCACGTCATTGCTTCAAAATGCATTCCAATGACCGATGGTCAACAATGTTATAAACCATTTATCATTTAGTGTATTATTGGTTGCAATGTTTTGATTTATATTGCAATATTGATAAACGACATATTTGTCGCCTTGGCATCAAACCCCAAAACGACCTATATGTCGCTTTGGCACTCAACACTCAACTACATATATGTCGCATTGGCATTAAGAGAGTTCAACATTCATTTCAGACTTAAAATATTACATATTACAAGATTTCATAAATAAATGATTTACATGTATTATTTCTAAACGTCACAAGCATGCTACACTTTTAAAAAGTGTATTTATAGATTATCGTTGGTCATCTGAACCAGATTGATTTTCTCGCTTGAGCCGGCACGGCGAAAGTGAAAAAAGCAATCGAGTTGAGATAACCAATGATAATCTGTTTATAGCTATTTTACCTATGGCGACGTTGTTCATTTCATTGACAACCGCACGTGTCCTCTTAGTATCTAGCGATAAATTTTCATATCACTCTACTGTGCTGAGAATGGAAATTATCAGTCAGTAAGATCAAAAGGCAATTTCATAAAATAGCGATAACATGTGTGAATAGAAGATACGCTTGAGGATTACATTTTTTTCAAATATGACTGTTAGAAGATAAAATAAAAATAAGAAAAATGAGGAAAAAAATCCTGAAGATTCTTTTATAAACTCTACTTTTAGATGAGTTGCCTCCCCTTTATACGCAAAAAAATAATTAAAAAATGTTTGCTTTTGTAAAAATATCAGTAATTTTAATTTAGGATCACAGGAATTTGTGAATTCGAATGAAAATTATTGTTAGTAAATTGTAAAAAAACATCGAAATTAACTGACCTTATAAAAAATCTAGACCTGTTGTGTTTAGATATCTTACAATACAATTTGGCGAAAAACACCCTTTACTACAGTTAAAATAAGCAGCTTCCCAAGATGACGATATCAAATACTCGTTGGAGAAAATGGCGGATAGCTGTCACAAAGTAGTGAATAATATCTGTGATGCATGTTTGTTGTTGTTGTTGATTAAAAAGCAGTCATCAACGGTTCAGTTTATTAGATTTGATTAAATGTTGGAAAACCGCTAAAAAAACGCACAATCTTTTTGCAATTGATGTGCCATAAGGATATGATATATATGTTTTAGTACAGTTCATGAAAAATGTTTTGCTGATCACATTAAAGTTATATACATTTATGAAATTTCTTTTTTAATAGACAAATCATTCATGAAGTAATTATGAGATGCAATGAATTGCAAAAAAGAATATAAGTCAATTTGTCATCTCAGCCGATCACACATGGACACTTTTGCTATCTTACGTGTTGCTTAAAAAGATTTGTGCTAAAATTCAGCCTAAATAAAAAAAATATATATATAAAATAATAATTAAGTCATATCAACTTTCTAGTGGTTATAATGTTAAGGACATTATTAAACCAATGCATGAAATTGAGAATGGAAATGGGGAATGTGTCAAAAAGACAACAACCCGACCATAGAGCCGAAGGCCACCAATGGGTCTTCAATGCAGCGAGAAACTCCCGCACCCGGATGCATATACATTTAATTAAGTCCTCTGTGCACGCGAATTTGAATCATTATTAGCACATCCAAATACAGAATCGTGTAATTTTTGCATGTCAACTTGTAAACATGCTGGTGTAATCGTCACTAGGTCAAAATTAAACGCAAGTTCATTTCCCGTTATCAAACTATACATCATCAGTTGATGAACCCGTTCAAGAACAATGTTACAGTATAAAACATTCATATTAGATAAACATTTCCTTACTTTTTTAAATATATAAAAAGAAAATATCCGGTTACAAGTAGATGATCCAGACAAAGGAAATTGTATGTGAGTTTGGTTTGTTTATACTTTCCTTCAAACAGAGGCTCTTAAATAGCTATTATTCAACATGTTGTTTAAAATCTGGTGAGAAAGAATTACACCCCCCTTTTTTGGAAAAGAGGAAGAAAAAAAAAGAAGAAATATTGTTGACGTTTTTCCGGATATAAGAGGTCAGCAACATTTTAAGTACATCGTGGATGACCGATATGAATATAGACTGACTCAAGAGCATCAAGAGCCTCATTATTTACATGCTAATTATTTACATATAATTACTTAATTGAGCGATGATCTTTTTCAATCAATAGCAAGTTTAATGTTTCAAACAAGGTAGGATTGTTTTGATGTGATTATGTAAATGTCAAGATGAAAAAAGGAAACTGTTTATAAAATGTAAAATTATTTTAAATATTCATGATGCATTTATTTGTACGTTTTTTTATCATTTATTTATAACGTATAAACAATGTACATATATACAAAAAAAATAATATTTGTGTGATCAAACAGTAGTCTTAAAAATAATGAGTATAACCAAATACTGTTTTGCTATGATAAATTATTAGTATCTATTTAATGATAAGAATAACACCACATATGTATTTGTATTGCAATCACATCCTCTACTTGTTTTAGTCTATCTTTTAACATTGCGACTTTCACAATGTGCATAAGTTAGTCTTTAGTATTCTATATGTTGTGTTTTGTGTACTGTTGTTTGTCTATTGGTTTTCCTTCTGTTTTTGATATGTCATTGTCAGTTTATTTCGACTTATGAGTTTGAATGTCCCTTTGATATCTTTTGCCTCTCTTTAAATGTGATCACTATATTTTTTTATAAAGTCTGAATTTACCACATATGAATGATATTTTATTTTAAACTTCGGCCATTGTCATAGTATTCTCCTCTAGTGTCGGTGTCCAGAGTTCTAACTTCGGTAAAAGTTTTCGAGGGGTTACATTGGTAGATCCAGGGAGTGTTTCGGGGGTATGACCCCCCTTTTTTGATTGTTTTTTTAATTATGTGAAATTGACATGGTGTTTCGGGGGTTAGAACTCCATTTTTCAAAATGGCTGGGTAATGATTTATTTTAGAAAGTTAAAGTGGACAATTTCCCGCCAATTTATTTCATTGACGATATTTTGTCCTTTTTTCTTTGCGGTAAAACCCCAGTTTATCCTTTAGTTGCCACTTTTTATTACCATGTCATTAATGAAATAGAACTTTCAGTTACATTGTTGTGAACACAATTTACATCTTATGCTGAAAGATGACCTTTAGCAGCCTTATTGTGAACATGTGAAGGGTAAAGAGGATCCCTGTATATATGGATTTTACAACAAAAACAAAAATTAAAGGCACAACAACATTAGTGGTACCAATTTTTCTGCACCTGATGTGCATTTCGACAATTCTTGTCTCTTCAGTGATGCTCGATGCAAAAAATTCACGGTTGAAAATCCTTGAATATCATGACAACTCGAATACTAATAAATCTACAGTACTTGTTTACTATATCATTTTGACACGTGCGTAAAGATCCATGTCTCCCGAAACAGCCTGCAGAGGGTTAAATGGATTGTTTTCAAAAAAGGGTTTGATTTACTACATTAGGGGCTAAAATTGTAACAAAATCATAATTACAGTTGTGCATTGTGTCTGTTATTTTAGCCGTAATTTTCAACAAGTCGAATCTCCTCCTTATTATAATCATGGACAGTCTAGTATAGACTGTCCCTGTTATAATACAAGTTATGGTAGTGGAGAACCTTTGGTGTCCTAATTTTGTTTTGTAACGAGCCGAGTTTATTGTTTTTTGGTGTTGGTATTTTGAGATCTAAAAAAAAGGATTAACGAAATACAAAAGATCTAAAAACAAGTATTAAAAAATCCAAAAGGAGGAAGTCCATCAATCAAGACAAAATCAAACGCTGGACTATATCAACCAACGGAACGATTGGAAAACAACTGTCATATTCCTGACTTAGTAGAAGAAGAAAATGGTAGAATAAATTTTGGTATTATAGCTAGATAAACCTATAAATTGTTAACCAATTAACCAAAACAGAATTACCAATAATGGTAAAGAAAGGGTATGGTATGTTAATTCATTACACATATAGTTATTCATCGTAACACACTTGATAAGAAAACAAGAGCAGAGGAACAATATTTGTATCGCTGTTTTTCATCTCAATGTCACACTGAGGTCATCACCACTCTAGTATTTCTCACATTGCAATGTGAATAGAATAAAAAGTAGTTAAATGTGTAGATACAATAGAAGGTGTCATGGAGGAAGTGTTCAGTTTACTGTTATAAAGTTTTTTCAGTACACATTTGTTTATTCTTTTTAATTGAAAAATAAGATGATGTGGTATGATTTGACTTCACCAGACACTGAATGACATAGATTTCAGCAACTATATGTCAACCTGACTTAAGAGTGTGTTTTAGTTGTTTTCTGATTGACTAATAACCCTTTTGTTCATAAGTTTTAATATCTTCTTAAAAGCCTCTCATACTTTAAAACGCCTTCAACAGAAAAGTTTATCGTTTTTTATAGGTAAATGAGAAGAATAAAATAATGTATCTAAACAGATTTATACTCATTGTAACAATGTTTGTTATGGTGGTCAGTTCTGATACGGGTGAGTAAACATTTAATTATTAAATGTACCAAATGCATAAATCGATTAAGCAAAAACAAATCCGGATAACAAACTAAACCCTAAGGAATCACATCTACTTTAAGAGGAAAACAACAGAACAACAGAAACACTGAACTACAACAAAAACATACACCAACATACATAGAAACGAATTGTAGATAACAAATGCCATATTCCTGACTTTGTATAGTACATTTTAAGAAAAATGGTGGGTTGAACCTGGTTTTATTCAAAAAGAAAATATGTGTATGCATTTTCCTATACAGCAATACTTTTATCTCTTGTGTAGCATATGTGTTACAACCTCTAAGAACTATTTTCTGCAAAGACAGAGTGCATTGAAAAAGATGTGCTTTCAAAATATTTGTCATGTCCTAATTTTGATTATTTCAATACCGCCATTGCACACCATACGGACTATTCAATAACAGATTGTTTTACATAATTGAAATTTTAAAATGTACCTTCGAAAGAATTTGAATTAGGACAATTTTGATATGAATCAATTTGTTTAACCCTTTATATAACAGTTTTCATTCATTCAATTTTTTGTTTGTTTGTTACATTGTATACTTTAGAAACTGATACATTTATCGGCCCATATGTACAAATGATGATTATATATTAAGGAATTTAGACACCTTCACAGTTGCAATTAATATTTCCTCTTGTTGGTCTTGTCATAGACGAACCAACATTAAAAATAGAATAATGCCTGAATAATTTATAATAAAACACTGTGCGGGACAAATTTGCTATTCCAGAGTTGGCAAATCTGACTTTGTTGTTTTACAAGATAACAAAAATATTTTTTGGCCAAGTGATAGATAATAATGTATCCCAACGTGTCACTGTTGTCACTGTTGCACTACAGCTGATTAAAAGTACATTTCCCATTGGAAATTTAAATATTCCCATTGGAATATTAGAAGTTCCCATGGGAAAAGTTAAAGTTCCCATCGGAAAAAGTACTTTTCCCATAGGAATTTTAAAGTTTCCATCGGAACTTGAAAGTTCCAATGGGAAAACAAGACTACAAAAAGTTCCCATGGAAATTTAACTTTTCCGATGGGAACAGTTTATCTTCCCATGGGAACATTTATTTTTCTGATGAGAACATTTGTTTTTCCTATGGGAACAATTTTTCTTCCCATTGGAACAGATATTTTACGAAGGAACATGTTTTTTTTCCTAGAAAAATTGAAATTTGTTGAATGTTAAGTTATTGAAGTATGCAGGTTTTATACAAAATATCAATATGGTTTCGTATCCAAAGTTGCACTCAACATGCAACTTCCATAAAACTCTGATTGTCCAGTAAAAGTATGAAGCAATGTCTTTAAATTAAGTTATGCGTGTGTGTTGTGATAACAAAATATTCTTTTTTCTATTATTGAACTTATTGGAAAATAGATAAAAAAATGTTTAAAACAACCTTTTTTCCGGTCCGTAGAAATACCACAAATTTTGATTTTTTATACAAAATACAAGACTCATAAAACAAAAACACTATAACATGCTGAAATAATATATTCATGTACAACCTGTATACACGTGCGTAATTAACGGGTCCTGTTTGAATGAACATGAATTTCAATCGATTACACACAGATGACAATCAATAGAGCGTGGCACGTCGATAAAAAATTTAATAACACTGTAATTACTAAACATATAAATGTATAAATTGGAATTATTTATTTATTTATAATATATCATCCCATCAAGTCCGTAGTGCGAAATCCTGTTTTAGAGCATTAAGGTGGTCATATGCGGTATTTCTACGGACTTCTTTATTTCAACATTTTGATTCCTTCCGTATTATATTCTGTATAGGCAGTTTATGTAGATTACTAGAACAGAAAATAGTAAATTGAAGTCATATTATTATTTTCTGTTGTATTGTTTCAAAAACTTGACATTGACACGGATTAGTGATTTCTGTGACTTTTTTCTAACATTTACACGTACACGTACCAAATCTACAAGTGTTTTGTGTATGACTTATTTCCGTTTAACTTATTTTTGTTTTGTTTTTGTTTAAACATAATTTATTTCCAAAAGTAGCAAATGGGATTGAACACAAGTTATAACAACATTAGTGAAGTCACCTCCGTATACAAATATAAACACAAAATACATTAGATGATGACGAAAAACAAAATAGGAATGCATGTAATACAAACTAAACTAAACAAAAATGCAATATAATATTGTTGTAATATGGACTTGCGTGAAGTGTGAGAAAGTAGGAATTCAGTATTTTAATTGTATGTGAAGTTCTGAATCTTTGTGTAATTCTGATATGAGATTAAACAGATTCAAAAATTGATTTATTTTGCTGAAATGTATAGAGGTAGCCGTGATCAGCCAGTAGAAGCTCAACTGGTATAATTAAATATAGCATATCTTTTTTAAATCATAAAACAATATTTCTCTTGCTTCATTGTGAAATGGGCACTCGAAAAAATGATGTATACAATCCTCAACAGCATGGCTACAGCTGCATGCGGGATTTAGTTTGATATTAACACGGTGCAGATCTGCATTTAAAGAGCTTCGCATATTTCTCAACCATGAATGATATTAAGTTTTGTCGGGGTCAGTGGGGGAAATTTTAGCGCATTGATAGGACACTTTAGCGAAAACAATTGGATGTTTTAGCGCCAAAGTATAACCCATTTTAGCGCAAGCTTTTTAACCCATTTTAGCGAAAGTCAAAATTATCAATGCCCATTTTAGAGTAATATTTCTAACCTATTTTACAATAGATAATAAATTAATATTTTTTTATTAGAATCAAGACAGCACAATTTAAACAATAGCATGTCCATTAAAATACAGCACTAAAAGTCTAAAAGGTTAAATCAAATGTTAAAAGTCCGTTCTATCCTGGAATTTATATCCTAGAGAACGTACATTATGGGCTCTGGATATACCCCCTGTACAATACCGTTCATAAAATTGCAGTAAGAACTGTTCTTTCTCTTTATCTTGTCAAGACTGTGGTGCACATTCGTTTATACTTCGTATTTATATATATATATATATATGTTGTTGTTTGCAATTTGATGCTAGTATCAAGAAAAAACGTAAATACCTGGGTGACAACTATAAAATTCACCATTATAATGGGCATGGATCGACTCTGGACAAAACACTTTTCTTTCCTCTGTTCTTTTCAACAACATTTATTTCCATGAACCAAAGTAAACATAGTTTATATAAACAACTTAACCACTAAGACCGCATAAATTACTGTCCATGGTTTTAGTAAGGAGAGTATTTTTCAACCAGGTAAGATTTCGCTAAAATGGGCTATCGAAAATACAGGTGAACGGATTAATCCTGCGCTCAAATGGGCACTAATATCTGCGCTAAAATGTCCCCTAGTAGTTTATTTTTTTTCGCTAAAATGTCCTGCGCCCGTCGGGCTTTAGACTTCCATTCAATTGTAGTAGATAGGGAAAAAAAGATGTTCTGGTTATATCTAGTATATAACGCGGGGTACTACATAGTTGTTACTATTTCGCAAATCATAATTAGATATTTGACCAATAAGTGGGAGCATTAGATCGCAGAGATAATCAAGGGCAGTCTCATTATTTAAAGAATATAAAACATTCAGCTTTCTTGACTTTTTTCTGTCTACTAGCAATTTCCGGCCTGTTTCGAATATGTAGCTTCTCGACTGACATACACTATTCTTCCTGCTCCCAACTTAGCATAGAATCTTGTTGAGTACAACTATCCCGAAACACATATGCATATTCCATAATTGGTCTAATAAATGTGAAGTTTATACGAGCAAGACTATTTCTATATAATGCATATTTCAATTTTTCAAGAACGTTTAATCTTGTACTGTGCTTGCAAAATTCATTGTGTTTTCTGTATGTGTATGCAATTTCCTTGTTGATGCATTCTGTACATATTCCGGCTCGGAGTTTCATGTGTTAAAGCAATACCGTGTGATGATTTTAACTTATTTTACACTGAATAATGTAAAGTGATGTGTATTCATTTTCAATTCCTTCACCAAAAGTGTGTCACTATCAACGGCGGAGAATATTTTAGCGCATAGATAGGACATTTAGCAAAAAAACAGTCGGAAGTTTTTGCGCCAAAAAACAGTCCATTTACCGAAAAGAGAAATTATCAATGCCATTTTAGAGAATATTATTTATTCATTGTATAATAATGAATTTTAATATATCATGATAGCACAATACAACCAAAAATACAGCAATAAAAGTTTAAAAAGTTAAAGGGAAACTCCGCAAAAAAAAATGAAAAATTGATATCATGTTCGTTTTGTATAAAATTTCACACAAATTCATAAATATTAACGTTTTATTCTCCTGTAGATAAGATATCACCATCGATTTCAACTTCAAAATATCAATTCTCTACCTACTCTATTTTTTTTTTAAATAACTATGCTCTGTCATTTTTTAACTTTTTTTTAACTAACTTTATTAAACAAATAAAATTAGGGGAATTCGTTTAGAGCGATTTCTTTTATGGATTCTCTCATAGTTTAAAGCCATAATTAACTAGCGTCGTTTCGTGTCAAATTGTTTTCAATGATCTAATTTGTTCATAACTTTTTTATCTGGGACTATCATACAATATAAAAAATTATTATGTCCCAGTTTTTATATAATACCTTTATTTACTTCCCTAACTTGACCATCAGCATGGCTACAGGAATTATTGCCAGAGGTACTGTGAGTTGACACTTCCAGGTATTCAAGCGATTTCCTGTCGGGCTTAAAAACTCTTATTACACGTAATGCAGGTTCACGCACCGTTTTACTGCTGAGCAGTGTATGCGGCCGGTAATTTGGAACTTTACATCTAAAAATTATCAGGTATAATATACATCACGAGTCCGAGAGTGATATACTATACATTACTAAACTCATACGTGCAGTTACTGGTGTAGTCAATTTTATTACCACTTGTTTATGAATAAC